GCCCTTGAACGGTTTCTTCTGAGTGCTGTGTCATGCATCTGGCTATTATTATTGGCAATCGGTGTTAAACTTAAACTGATACCCTAAACTGTGATATTCGGTAACCTTATATCTTTCTAAAGGGAATCGCCCAGTTGGGGAGATAATCGCAGTGCATTTATCTTCTACTCGTTCAATAATCCTCAATAAATGAATATATATCAATTAATATAATATATAAACATATATCCAAATATATTTTAATTTTTCAGATGTTTATATAATTATTATATATATTTTTTTTTTATGACACAAAAGGATTCTTGAATGGCGCTCTTAAATTGTTTTCTTTCATCTTAAATTCTGTCCTACTCCCACTTGTGCCAACATCGTTAGCATTCATTATATGAATGCTTTGCACGCCCCGTTGATGTTTATGAGCAATTGAATAAATAGCCCAAATGATAGTTCTGTAAAAGTGCAGTCCTCTGAGATTTGTATTTTCCTATTTTTGATGTACAAATTCAGAGCTAGACCAATTATCATTTGATGATGCTAGCCGTCTCTCTTTTACTTAAAATCAATGAGTTTTAGTTTGTGGAAGACATAGTTTTTTACAGGTAAAATGATTATCACTCAAGTATTTATATATAAATCGGAAATTCCATAAAACCAATATACTTTTTTATATTTTAGAACCAGTATGAAAAGGCAGGCTGCTTTTGGGTTGCTTTCCAGATAATCGCTTTCCACTCAGGCAATTGGATATTGAGGCTGACTGTTATTTGTCGTTTCCGCTGAGATACAAAAGATTCATCCTGACACATTTCTGTACGGTTTGGCGCCATGCGGGCAATAAAATGTTTATTTTTGCACCACAAAATGACTACGACCCAGCTTTCTTAATTGAAACAGCCAACGTGCGAATCTTCCGCCAATGCTCACCAAAAAGAAAAAAATCGTCTAGAATGAATGCGGCCAGAGTTCTTGAATAGTCGATGCTGTGTGAGGTGCTTTAAATGTGTCTCTTTGGTTGACACAGAATAAAAATTACATTTCATTATTATTGCTTGGAAATGAAATAGAAAAATTAATCTGCATTTATAAAACAATATAGAATTGAAATAATTATTAAATTATTTACGCAAGGTACTAGAGTTTTAAAGATGATCATGGTCCTTTATATGAAGCTAAAAACTGAGGAGATGTTATGATACCCACTTAAATGAATCTTGATTTCTAGTGAGTTCTAGCTCTATTCATGTTTTCACGAATGATTGAATAATTGATTAATGTTATCATGAACGACCAAATAGTAAGTCTCTTTCATTAATTCATTTATTTATGTTATTATTTTTTTAATATACTCGTATTTTTATTAGATGTTGATAAAGGGTGTTATTTGGAAAAATATTTATTCTTTAAATAAGAGGGCAAATAATGTGTCCAGCGTCTTGACAATCTATTCAAAATGGGCTTCATCAATTTTAAATGGCGTCAACCCAAGAACGTTCCCAATCCTTTTTTTTCCTGTTTAATTTGTACGTACGTACAAAAGCTTCAAAGCATATTAGAAATTTTCTCTACAATTTTTGAGTATTTTCTATCTTCTATCGTTGTAAAACCTAAATTGCAATTGTATCATATGTTTTTTTATTTTAAATTTACGTTATTGAAAAATAGTACATTTGAGGGAAATTTTAAGATTTTCAGGGTATCTTGAAGTCGAAGATTAAGACATTCATGTTTTGAAATCATTTATTTGTTGGGCTGTCAGATTGAAAAATAGGAAAACGAAACAAAATAGCAGCTATTTTTATGTTGCTTGTTGCGTGGCTGAAGCTCAGGAATTTCACTTGACTGGGAAGAAAAAACAAAATATAGAGATTAAATCATCGACTGCATTTGATGGCTGTCCGAAAAAGTCTAAAGATGTGGGTGCCTAAGCAGATAAAGGGACAGTTTTATCTGTCACCTATGTATGTGCAGAACTGTTTATCATAAGTGGCCTAATTGTCTCTAGCCAAAACACAACTGTAGAGAAATCAGGGACTTTGCTTTTTATTTATACCATTTCAATTAATTCAATTCAATTAAATTATTGTTCTTTTATGGGCCTGTAGATTTCTATACCTTGAACCCATTTAAAAAGGGGAAATCAGGGTATAATGATTTTGTAAAAGTATGTAACAGGCAGAAGGAATCATCGTAGATCCCATAAAGTATATATATTCTTGATCAGGACGACGAGCTGAGTCGATATAGCCCGTCCGTCCGTCCATATGTGCAAGCCGATATCAGAAAATATAAGAGCTAGAGACCTGAAATGCATTCATATTCGTGTATTCCATACGCAGTACAAGTTTATCTTATTTTTTCGATAACTCGTCCGATAACTTTTTTATCGAGAATAATCGACTTGGTTTTTTTTTGCCTAATTTGAACACTTTTAGACCTGGATTGTACTGTGTATATACAGTTAATGGATTCTGTACTTTACAGATTTTGGATACCACGCCCCCTTCGCCCCCAATTTGTAAAAAACGTATATCAGGTACTAGAGACTTGTGCCTAGGAATGTACACACATTTAAGCCATATGATCACGCTCTGAAAGTTTCATAAAGATAGTCTAACTACTATTCAGTTAATATATTTTCATACAATTGCTCACACTGCAGCGCAGCTCAAGCGCAGTCGCTGCTTACTGCGCAATTAGCAGAGCGTAGGCTTATGCGTGCAATTGGATGCATGTGTATGTATGTGTGCATAAAAGGAGTACAGAATGATTAGAATATCAGCTTAGAGGGTTCAGGGTATCTCCTAGTCAAGCAGTCTCGATTGGAGCCTACTTACTTGTTTTCAATAAGAATTGAGTAAAAAGGTTTATTAATTATCTTTATCTTATATATATAAAACAAAGTCGTGTTATGTGTTACAACACTTATAACTCGAGATCTACTGGACCAATTTTCATGGTTTTTGATTTGCTGGATTTGTCTTCGCCCCGATTAGGAGAGTATATCTTAAAAAATACTACAAAATTGACGAATACTTGAAAAACGCGTTATTTTCCTGAAGGTTCTTTAATTTCGGAGCTGTCCAGTTTTCATTGCGAATTTACCCAGTAGGCTTGATAACAGTGACAGTTTTCCTGCTCTCCTGCTCCTGTTCTCATGTTAAACAATTATTCACGCACATTTGAAAAATACGTGAATGAATAAACTATTATGTGTATTTTTAAAAAAAGGTTGAAAAATTTTACGCGTGCGTTCAGAAGCAAAATATCTCGAAAGTTCTGGTAGATACTGTTATATTTGTTTGTCCTAGACATTAATTTGTGTAAATTATTTATTAAGTTATTGATTTATTCTACAGTTTAAAAAAAGTGTAAATGTCTTTTCATAAGTTGTATTACTGTTAATAAAAATGCCGCATCCTAGAAGATCTAATTTTTCGTTTACCACAAGGTGCCTGAATGAAAATCCGATTAATAAATTAATCATAGTGTACAACATAGTTTACAATGAGTTTTTTCTGACATGTTTTTGGAAAACTTAATTATTTCATTTTTATACCCTGAACCCATTTTCAATGGGAAATCAGGGTATAATGGTTTTGTTGAAATGTATGTAACAGGCAGAAGGAGGCGTGGCAGACCCCACAAAGTATATATAATCTTGATCAGGGCGACGAGCTGAGTCGATTTGGCCCTGTCCGTCTGTCTGTCTGTCCGTATGCTTGAACGCGTCGATTTCCGAAGATATAAGAGCTAGAGACTTCAATTTTTTTTTTAAATGACCGTATATACAGCGTGGACGTCGAGTTTGCTTTTAAAATTCGATAAATCATCCCGTTATGTTTTTATCGAGTAAAAACATTCAAGTTCAAGTCAGATGCCACTATAGGTAATTGTAAATGATTTTTCATTTTTTTTAATTTCTCAAATATTCAATATAATATGTAGATCATATGCTGAAAGTTTCATTAAATTCCGTTCAGTCAAAAATTAATAAAAAATAATCAAATATTTGACCAATTAACAAACGCACGTGCAGCAGCTACAACAGCATCGTATGCGTGTGCACACATACATTCAAACTTCTTCTAGAAACATTCGTTGAATCACATCAGCAGTTAGTTTCGTTTAGTTTTGGTAAATGGCGCTGCAGCAGTGAATCTATTTGAGTTTTTCCACCACCACTTGGCGAAGTGAGGTGGCGTAGTGTGTTAGCTGCATGACGATCGATCGAGAAGCCGCGGTTCAAATCCCGATCGGTGCAACTGATGTTAACTTTTTTAATTGTTTCAAAATATTTTTATATTTTATTAAATGAGTTTGGTATTTTATTTATATTTTTAAATACATCGAAATTGAAATTTTAGCCATACTAAATAGGCATTTTTATTAGTTGGGTTCAGGGTAGTATCTAGTCGAGCACTCTCGACTAGAATTTTCTTTTTTTTTTTTTTTTTCAATTTGTATTCTCATTCTGTATGTTTTCATCATTATTCATCATAATAAAATACTTTTATATTTCTATCTATATTAATATTGTTTTGTATTATTGTATAACGTTCATCAAAGCCTAAATTAGTTTAGCTAAAAGGTAACACGACATTCTTTGACTTTTAGGCGGTACGAAGTTCGCTGGGTCACCTAGTGTTTATATAAATATGTCGCAAGTCATATAAATCGATTAAATCTATTGCACTTGTTGATTTCTTTAAACATTTTAGTGATTAGATAAAATTATTGTTTTTTTCGCAAAATATAATTGAGGGTAGTTTAAATGAAATCATTATAAACTTTCTTTCATTCATTTACACAGTGTTTATGTGAGCTGTCCTAAGAGCCAGTTGGGAAACCACGCAAGCGCAAATACCAATAAAATTGCAAATGAATGTCATATGCGTATATATAAAAGTTGATATCATCGCAAGATTTTTATAGCTTGTGAAATTGAACGTTATATCTAATCTATATTTAATGTTTTTGATTTTTTCTTGCTTTCTTTGCAGACTTGTCAAATTGTGCTTCTAACGCTTTTTATGGTATGTCTAATATGTAAATTAACTTGAATGGTGTAATAGTAGTTATGTTCTATACATATCAATGTGTGGAATTTCATCCGAGGACCGCACCCAACAACGTTTTCATTCGGATCGCATTGAATATCAAGTGTGATCGGCCATCGTTAAATAAAGTTTTCAATTGGTACAATATTGGGCTATTTATCAAATATAATTGAAGCCATGTGATTTTATACTCGGTAAAAATAATGATCTTCAAATTAAAGACATGAAGATTTTGAAATTGAATTATATAAATAGTTGAATCTTATAGATGCTCAGCGACTTATAGTAGGACTATCTTCATAAAACTTTAAGAACGTGATCATAATGCTTAAATGTATGTATGTTCCGAAGCACAAGTATTAGTACTTAAAATACGTTTTTCACACATTGCTGGCGAAGAGAGCGTGGTATCCAAAATCTGTAAATTACAAAATCTATGTATTCATCAATGTATTTACATCTGAAATCTCCAGGTATAAAAGTGTTCAAATTAGGCTGGAAAAACTCAATCAATTTTTCGATTATTCCCGATAAAAAAGTTATCGAATGAGTTAACGAAAAAATATGATAATTATTTATTGCGTATGGTATATACGAGTATGCATGACAAATTTCAAATCTCTAGCTCATATAAATTCTGAGATCTAGGCGTTTATACGGACGGACGGACAGGGCTATATCGACTCAGCTCGTCGTCCTGATAAAGAATATATATTTTTTATGGGGTCTGCGATGTTTCCTTCTGCCTGTTACATACTTTTCACAAAACCATAATACCCGGATTTCCCATTTCCCATGGGTTCAGTGTATAAAAATAGAAGATATATTTCTTAAAAAGAATAAAATAACATATTTGTTTTATAGACTTTCTTGCCCATTTTCTCTGAGCATTGAATTCGTGTCTGTCAAGGAAACCTACACAAATTTAGCACAAATATCTTCCATGTGAATGTGTATGCATTTATATATAACATTGTACATCTGTATATACGTATATATAGTATGCATAGCGCCTATTTTAATCTAATTTCTTTCATTTCATGTCTTGCTCTATTTTTATGGCGCATTTTCAGAGTTGCTTGCGTCTGTACTATATATATAATTTATATATATACATACATATATTCTCAGAAATGTTTTGTATATTTTCATGTTGAGTAATGCTGTTTGCTCCATTTTGGTCATTGTTTTGTTGGGCTATATGTCGGACTTCAGCTGGCCAACTATAGAAGAATCATAATAATTCACAAAAAAAACTTTTCATTTTATTATATATTCTTTCCATCTTTCCGTAGCGGACTTTGCTTTTTATGTATACCATTTCAATTAAATTAAATTATAGTTATTTTATGGGCACCAGATTTTTATACCCTGAACCCATTTTAAAAGGGGAAATCAGGGGATTATGGTTTTGTGAAAAGTATGTAACAGGCAGAAGGAATCATCGCGACCCCATAAAGTATATATATTCTTGATCAGGACGACGAGCTGAGTCGATTTCGCCCTGTCCTTATGAACGTCGAGATCTCAGAAGATATAAGAGTAAGAGAGCTGAAATTTCGCATGTATCGTCTAGTATACCATACGCAGTATAAGTATATATTTTTATATAAGTATATATGTTTTATATAGGTATGTATTTTTATATTTGATATATTTTTATCGAGAATAATCGATAAATTGATTTCGTACATACGGACAGACGGACGGACGGACAGGGCTGAATCAACTCATCTCGTCGCTCTGATCAAGAATATATATACTTTTTTGGGCCTGTCATGCCTCCTTCTGCCTGTTCATACGGACAGACGGACGGACAAGACGTACATTGCACAAAACCAATATACTAATTCACTTTCGTGAATGAGTATAATAATTCAGTTTCGTGAATGAGTATAAAAAATGTCAGTGGTCTTGGGGCATGCCATTCTCTTCCTGAATTCATATTTGATTAGCGATTTATTGTTCAGTCATATTAAAGAAAGTCATCCCTTTTTGTTATAGATATTTGAGAATGTCAGCAAGCTATCTCTCTAAGACTTTCTATAGATTTACGAGTCGTGCATTTAAATGTGTAGAAAATTACTACTTATACACAACACATTTTTACCTTATACCTCGGATTGTTATGATAAGCATAATAAACATAAAAACATATTTTGAAAATAAATTTTTTTTATTGTTTGTCATACACAAATTGTTGCTTGGAACGCCTTAACAATGAAATACAAGTTCCGAAATTAGAAATATTTAATAAGCTCTGACTTTTTTATGTGATAGACAGCTTAAAGACAGGGCTCTCAGAGCCAAGTTCTATACAAACAAACAAACACACGCATATACAAATATATGTATATATACTTAAATAATAAAGTGTTACGGGCTAGAGTTTGAGTGTATTGTGCGTTGTTAAGATTGTCATCTTTTTTAAACTTTCTGCCAAAATTTTTTATTCTCAATCACGCATACATAGAATAATAATTTATATTGGTTTCGTGTTGCTTCCGAGAACCCATTTAAAATGGGGAATCAGGGCATAAGGTGTGTCTTGACTAGAGTTTTGCAATTTCCAAGCTCCATATATAAAATATTTCCATTGTAATATTGCAATTTCGTTTTCTGATATCTTATCTCATTTCTTTTTTTCTTATCATTAATTTGCAATATTTTGTATACTCATTCACCAAAGTGAATTAGTATATTGGTTTTGTGCAATGTCCGTCTTATAATTATATTGAAGATAGAGACTTGAAATTTTGAACACATACTCGAATCTCCGATTTATAAAAAGTTAAAATTATCTCGAACCGCCCACTATAGGCGTGGCAAATCGGAAAATGCATTTTCTGATATGCCAGAAATCATATTAGTTGAAGAGCTAGAATGCTGAAATTTGGAGTGTAGATCCGCGTCGACCACCCAAGATCAGTAGCTATGGTGGATATATTGTATATTGATATATAAAATTGTATCTCCAAGAGTTTTAAAGCTAGAACGCTGAAATTTCGCACGTAAGCTAATGTTATGATTATATAAAGTCTAATGAAAAATTATATGTCTACGCCCCATAGAGGCGTGGCAAATCGGTACAGAAGATATAGTGATTTTTTAAATTCTGCTTTATTTTTTACACTATTGACTATTGATGAAATTTGGTGTCTATACTCGGGCTGACTACTCAAGACCAAAAAGCTTCAACGAATATACATATGTCCGCCCACAGGGCGCGTAGAAAACCGCAAAAGTTTATATCTCCTAAAGTATAATAGCTAGCAGCTTAAAATTTGTGTAGTTAAGGTTCTAGTAACCTCTATCGATGACCCAAAAATAATTGTTACGCCTTTTTAGGGGCGTATTATATCGAAAAATACCCTGTAGTTTTCACAATTCAAATTTTGCAGTTAGATTCCGTTAGCTAGTTCTATAAACCGACAAAAAATGAGGTGTCTACGCCCAATAGGGTTGTGGCAAATCGGGAAAAACTGCATTTTCTACAGTATTAGAGCTAAACTTAGCTGCTAAATTGCTGATGGGATGTGAATGAGTATTCCGCAGTCGGTAATGCCCGACTACAACGTTCTTACTTGTTGTATATAGAAAACTGTAAAAGAAAACAAGTAAGAACGCTCTAGTCGAGACTGCTCGAATACTAACCCTGCAACGAGCCTAAACTGCAATCGCCCCATTTGTTGCAGAGGGAGCAAGGTATCCAATATCTATGAGTTGTAAAAAAAATATATTGCACTCGTAATGCGTATGGTATACCCGAATAAAATTAAAATTTCAAGACTAGTTGTCATATATTCGGAGATATCGGTTTTCATACGGTCAGACGGACATGACATATTTCTTCCCCCTGATCAGGAATATATATTCTTTATGGGGTCTTCCACACCTCCTATGTGTTACATACATTTTCAAAAAAAAAAATAAAATATATATATATATACATATATAATACAGCAAGTAAGACTAGTCTAGTCCACATTGCTTGACTAAGAGATACCCTGAACCCTCCAAGATGATATTCTAATCATTCTCCTCTTCTTTTATACACACATACAAAAACACATGCATCCATCCACAAGAACGCTTGGGCGCGCGCTCTGCTAACTTCGCAGTAAGCAGCGGCTCCGCTTTGGATGCGCTACAGTGTGAGCAATGCCTGAAAATTTATTTGTTGAATAATTTCTTTTGTAGTAAGACTAGCTTTATGAAATTTTCAAAACGTGATCCTAATGTTAAAATATGTGTATATACCTAAGCAAAAGTCTCTAGTATTTGAAATACTTAATTTTTTTTTATAAATTGGGGGCATGTTGTCCAAAATCTGTAAATTACAAAATTAGTGTATTTATGAAATGTATATACACAGTAAATTGGAAATCTCCAGGTCTAAGAGTGTTCAAATTAGGCTGAAAAGACGAATTAAATTTATCGATTATTCTCGGTAAAAAAAAGAAATCGGATGAGTTTTAGAAAAAATATGATAAATTTCTACTGCATATGATATAAACGAGTAGTTCAAGTATAGCTTCTGAGCTCTCGGCGTTCATGCGGCCGGACGGACGGACGGACTGACAGACACACATATGGATTCAGCTCGTCACTATGGTCAAGAATATATACACTTTATGGGGTGTGCGATGTTTCCTTCTGCCTGTTACCCTGACTTCCCATTTTCAATGGGCTCAAGGTATAAAAAGTGTTCTAGACTCATTCTCATTCTGATTGGAATATCTGGTTTCTTAAGGGTGTAGCAATCTCTTCTAGCCGGGCATTCCCGACTAGAGTAAACATGTTTGCCTAAGTTGTACCTCTCATCATCTTGTGTAAATCACTTCAACACAGGGTTTATGTGTTGGGTGAACTGCTAATTGGAACCGGGTTTCCAGATGACACCATGGGAAAGAAATGCTTGAACTTTAACTTAGTTGTGGGAAAATACAAAGGAGTTTAAAGAGATGAGGCCCACG